GGAAGGAGGCAGAGAGAGACAATGAGAGAGGGAGGGACACAAGGAGGGTGAGAGAGAGAGAGAGAAAAAAGGGGAGTTTATGCAAGAAAAGGTCATGTTCTGAATAGATGCTTACCCTGCTTTATTTTCTGTTCTCACTCTGAAGAACACTCGGCAAGGTTGCCCTCTGTAATCTTCAACCCTGTTGCACTTCTTCGTTGTTCAGTGAATTTATCTTTGCTTTTGTTATATTTATGAAGCTGGATAGCGTTATCTGCAGTTTGGTGTGAAGTGAGGTCAGTGAATTGATGGGACACAGCTGTCCCTCCTGTCCTGTGCACATATTTCCCTTGGGCATATATTTGCACACATGCACAATGACACACATCTTTCATTGATGTTAATTCACGGCCCCCTGGTGTCGTGGACACAATGTCACATTCCATCTTTCTCGATATCACACACGCTCCCAAACACACTATTTAGCCAAACTGGCACCGATATTTTACTGTGGTAGCCTGCTAGCTTAGCGCTACATGTTAATATGTGCGAGTTGTGTTGTCTGTTAATCCCCTGAGCGTTTTGCTTTAATCTCCTTTAATTTCATTCTCAATCTTTATGGAAATCAATGCTCGCAACCAACTCCTCATTTCACCATCTCCCTTACTAATTAAGACCAGGAAATTGTTCCTGGAATTGGCTGGCATGAGAGAAGTGCATCTCTCCCCTCAATCACTTTCTCATTCTCTCCTTGTGTTTGCAGTTATGTATTGTATACATTTGTTTTAACGAGCATGAGTCTGGTATGTTGCCTGCCTTGAGTATCTTACCATTTGTGGTTTGTGGTTTTTCCATTCTATGTGTTGTGTCTGCTTGTTAGTCTTCATCTCCTGTATTTCCTTCACTGTGACAGTATCTGACTCTTTCTATTGGTTTCTCTTTGTTTCTTAGTATCTGTCTGTGTATGTGTGTATGTGTGTATGTGTGTCTCTGCGCGCTGTGTGGGAAGCCATGTGGTGGATTTAGGACTAAAGCTTTGGGTGATTACTCCCATAATGAACCATCATGCTCTGTTCAGGCTGTCATCCCCCACAGGGATTGACTGTATTATGAAGTTATCATTCAGCCTCAGCAATATCCTCACATAACTCTCTTAACAAATATATCTCACCATGAAATCTGATAATGATTAGATGTGTACTGCATACAATTAAACCTTATTATTATGTAGGAAGATGTCCTGCAGGAAATCTTAAAAGCTTTGTCAGCTGTGTATAGGAAGCAAACAAACAGCATGATCATCGTAATGCCTTGTTTGCACATACAGATTCAGACATTGTTCTCTCATGAGTATTTAGCTCATCTCCTGATGATTCCTAACTTACAGAGAAGCTCCTAACTTCATTACATTTACTTTGTAATTTAAAAAATGTTATAGGGGTTTTAAATCTGCTCTCAGGTGTATGTGATGGTCCTAGAGAAGTCATGGTGGGGTCATGGTTAATCATTGCTATTATTATTTATTACTTACAAATGTCAGAGAAAATTAATTAGAAACATGCTGAACCTTCTTCTTTTTGGGACTGCATGGTGACATTTGACTCTCGTCCTCGGTTTCAGCATTTACATTGTTGTACAGATTTCCTTTTACAAACAATTGAGAATGTACGAGCAGCAAAATGGTAAGAATCACATTACCAATATCACTAGATAATTGCAGTATTTACAGCTCAATTACTTTCTACATATATTTACTTAATTCCTTATTAAGCCAATGTACAAAGCGAAAGCATATCTAACATTTGAAATACAAAATTCCATAAATTCTGGAAATACGTAATAATAGCATGCATGAACTGGTTGTCATACAAAATATTCCAAATTGTCTTCGGGACTCAATATAAAACCAGCATTTACAAATTATTTGTCATGGGCTTGATTGAATGTTTTTTATACGTTAGTGAGCTTAGACACACACTATCTGTCACCATGTTTTTGTAAGATTGTGATCTTGATAAAGCAGGAATAAACAAAGGCAGATTGATGGCTGGTAGGGCTGATGGATTGCTGCTTGGTTTTGAGAGAGATGAGGCCGATGAATGCACATAACACAAGATGGACTCACTGTCATCATTTTCTACTGAATGGTTTGTCCGATCAGGTGGTTTTGGTAATTGGAAAAAGTATAGGAGGTCCTGCTGTATGCTGCCAACTTCCTCCTCTCTCTAGCTTCCTCTCATCTTTCAACTCTCACCTACTTTCCGGACTTCCACCCTCCCTTCACTTCGCCCTTCCCCATCCCATTTTACGTCTCCCGTAACGTCCACACGGTTCCGTTGCGTGCTTCAACGGAGACGCTTCCTATTCACTTTGATGACTTTCAATGACTGCATTGTGGTTCCGTCGCGTCGCTTTGCCTCTGTTGCTCGCTTCAAAAGACTTCGAAAGTCGACGGAAGCGCCAGCCAATCAAAGCATATGCCAGTACAAGCGCTAGCCAATCAACTGCGACGGAGCCGTGTGGACGTACCGTCATTGTCCTACACTTTGCCTCCTTCTATCTCTTTATGCCACTTTTTGATGAAATACCCAGATGACTATGAGTTGACCGGTTCAGCATTAAATAATTGCTCTTTCTAGTGTTTGTGTCTTTGTGTGTCCACACATGGTGTACAATAGTTGATGGATAAGGTGATTAAGAGTACACTTGGGAACCAGGAGAGTAAAAGGACAAAACAATAAAACACACACACAGAGGTTTAAAAAAGCTGAAGGACAGAGGGGAGAGGATGTGTGTCATACACCTACAGCAATACTTTACAAACTATCAAAGTGACTCTAACACTCTTCAAAGTCAAAACATGTTATCTTTATATCTCAAAGATTGTATCACTTCAATATTGCTGTTAATGCTGCCATAGCAACAGACCTCTGGACTTTAGAATACCCACATCTGCAGATATGTAGCTTATTTTATTATTTATCCTTACATGCTGCCTTTGTTAAATCTGTGATATGTGAAACTTTATCATCGTGATACAGATTGCACACATCTTTTTTTTCAAGTAATGTACTTTATATATCATGTTGAACGCATACAAAGGCCAGATTTGCAGCTCCATTTACCCCGATCATGTTGAGACTGATTCTAGAAAAAAATGTGATCGTAAAACTCTGAGTTGCACCCAGAAGCGTGGATTAAAAAAACTCAATCCCCTCCATATGTTCTTATTTAGAAATCCATCACATCGGATCAGCACTATAAATAAAGTCACCTGCTAAGTCCTGCAACACTGCCACCCCTCTTATGTTACAATTTGTTTTATGGCCTTTTTCTATGGCAGGCTAATCATTTTAACATGTGTTAAGCTCAACTGCCAATATACCGTAGGGATACATGCATACAGAATGCTATGTGGCATTTGACCAAGGAGGTGAACAGAAAAGCGAACAGTAAGAGTGAATATCTTTATGGACCCGAGGGTGGACTTACGCAGAAGCTTTAAGTGTCATCGTGAAAGAAACTCAAATTTACAATTACAGGATTTGACCTTCAACAAGCAATCTGAAAGTAACTAATTCATAAGGATCTGCAGTGCAAGATGTGAAGACTCATCATAAACCAAGCTCAAGAGTGCTTTCTCCTTTTTACCTGTCTCAATTAATACATTTCCTTCTTTTGCGTAAGACATCATAAAGAAGAGTGGCAATGAGAGAAATAAAGATGCAGAGAAAATGTATTTGGCATAAATTTCAGTTAAACCAAACTGTCCTTCCATTCACCCATGTATCAATCCTCCCACAGCCGTTTTGTTTCTTTGCTCACGTCGTTCAACGCCTCCGCTCCATCCTTATTTTGTCTTTCCATTTTCTATTGTTCTTATTTAAATGTCTAGCTAACTGTCCTAAAGTATGCTACTGTGAGAATTTTTTCCCCTCAAAATGAAAACAGCTGAGCCATCTCTGAAACGTTCTGTGGAAGAAATGGCAGTGCATTCCATACTGCTTTGTAACACTGTCATTTATCACAGCATGTTACCCATTAGTGTGAATCATTTATTGTCTTTGGCCTGCTTGAGTTCCCTTAACTCTGGCAAGTCTATGGAATGAAAGCAAGGTTAAATACTGTGCGCATTGATTGAGGGGTGAGCATGCAACAAAGCAGCCTGTGTTCAAAAATGTAACTGTATGTGTGGTTAACTCTTTTTTAAATGAAAACATTGTCTGTGTATGTGTATGTGTGTGTGTTTGTGGGCATTACTTGCCTCTAAGAATATACAGCTAAGTGTTTTTCCTTGCTATGTTCATTTCTAAAGTGACAGGAGAGTGGGAGAAGTCAATATATGCATGGCTGACTTCAACTACCAACTTCATAATTACCGTGTCATTGTTACCGCGGAAATGAGGTAATGAGCTTGGTGTAAAATGACATGGCACCATCTCTGAAATGGGTTCCCTGAACAATGAATCACAGGATGCTTTTGCCAAAGGGCCTCCGACACAAGTTCGCTTTCCATTGAGACTTTTAACTTTTGGTAATCTGTTTTTTTTCTTTTTTGTCTTTGATATATTTCCAGGGATTTCCTGGTTTGAGATCAAATAATTACTCGTGAAAGCACTTTGCTTGTTTGGATTCAAGATTTGAGCTGTGTTAGTCATTTGTTTCAATGCATCAGTGCTATGTGATGTTTCAACGTGGAACCCTTTCCAGCTTTTTGAAGCCAGGAAATCAAACAGGCATGTTTTTGTTGCGGGTTCAAATCAAATCAAATCAAGTTTTATTTATATAGTACATTTTTAAAACGATTTTTGGTCGAGCCAAAGTGCTGGAATCCTGGGTTACCAGGATTCCACTTGCAATGAGTGAGAAGCAAGCCGATTGCAGATGCAGTGCAAAGTGCACATGCTGGAGTGTAAGGTTTAAACAAGTCATGGATGTAGGAAGGGACTAAATCTTTCACAGCATGGTAATCCAGTACCAGTATCTCACATGTGTGTTTCTCTTTTTGTCTCTCTCATTAGACCTGAAAAAGTCATTTGAACAGGAACCCCTGGGAAAGGAAGTAACTCTGGAGCAGGAAGTCCTGTTGCAGTGTCGCCCTCCGGAGGGCATACCAGCAGCTGAGGTACGTAAGGGCAGCGTTATTGTTAACCTTCACCTGAGGGGAATGCCAAGCAAGACGTCAGATTAGGAGGACTATTGAATAGGTCTTTTAAAGAGGGAGAAATACAAAAGGGGTTCTAAAACAAAAATAGGAATCATCAGAAAAAAATTATTTGGAAGTGCGGTTTAAAAGTCTAGATTTTTAAATCGTTGTGTCTGCCAAGGAGGATTTGTTTTCACTTTGGTTTATGGGTTTAAAATGTGCCTGTTTGTCAGCAGAAACAACATAACAACTTCCCAATAGAGCCCATTATATATCGTAGCTAGGGGAATCAAATGGGCTCACACATTATTCCTCACTTATGGAAACAGCCTTTGTGGAGGTTTGCGCGCGCTCCCACTGCCCTAACTTTTTAATGTAACTACAACAAGCAACGCATTGAAATTAATCACTAAACGTTTTTAGAAATATAAAGCTTTGTTTTACATATGTACATACATTTGTGTTAAATTGTCACAGGGAGAAATCAGAAAAACAGCCCAAATCTCAGTTTTGAGTCACAGTTATTCGAATGCTCTACTGAAATGAGATTTACCTGATCCAAAGTTTGAACTTAGAATCAAATGTCCCCAGAGAGCCAATTTGAGTTACAGCACAAGTTACTTGGGGAAATCTCAGAGAGAGGGAATATAGGCTAAACCTTTGCCGTCTCTACCTGAGCTTCTGAAAATAGAAGTGGAAACACTTGCAGTAAAGGAAACACAAAAACACCCTTCACTTAGGGGAGAGTAACATTTGCCAACAAGTAAAATCCCAACATCATTATGTTGGCCATTTAAAGAGGTCACTTAACTGCCTTGCTCAAGGAACCTTGTTTAAACAAGGCTGACTTAATGAGGTCAGAGGGTCCCAGCAATGCTATTAATTCCAACAGTAAAGTGTGGTACATTTGACAAAACGTCCCCCTTTATTGTAAGATTATAATGTGTAGCTGCTGCAAGTCCATTGTCAGCTCATAGACATTTTACTGACTCATCTAATGGGCCGCACAGTAAACATCCACTTTAGGAGAGCCACACGTGTCACTTTCACTCCCTGAGGGCCTTAACTTCAGTGAAGAGTGTCATTCGCAATTCAAATTGTTTTTTATTTTTCCTTGTTTCATCTGGCTGCGTTCCCACCTGAATGGATAAAAAGACCTAATTTAATTTAGCCAGTCGCTGGGGGAGAGCAGCACAGCACAAGGAGACGGCTGCGCTCCCGGATAAGGAGTCTCTGAATCAGGTTTCGCTCAGGGTTTGATAGTCGTTTTCAATTGCACCTAAGTACACAGCACCCCTGAGACAAAGAGGGGGGGTGGGGGACTGAAGGAGAGGGGGTGAGGTAGGCACTCAGACAGACCACTGTACAAAGTGAGGGGGATTGTGTGGGGGGAAAGGCAGAGGTGATGGTGGGACAGAAAGAGGTGTGATGGGGAAGAACACACTGATCATTTCTTTTCCTGTCATTACAAGCGTAAAATATGTAGACAAATAAATTGGTAAAATTGTGATCAGTTTTTATAGTATAAAGCCACAAAGACTTGAATTCTTTTTTCCCACTTGTATTGTCCCTCTCTCTCTCTGCCACACACCCACACTTACTACTCACAATACTTCATCTCAGAGACAAAACTCTACACTAATGTCGAATGACTACTGCTGCCTCATCTGCCTTTTTATTTCTACTTGAACACAATACTTTCATGCACAAAAGCACACGGAAAAACAAAGACACCAACACACACTCAGAGCTTCTTTTCCAGTGTGTTCAATTTGTTACATTTTCCATCTGTTTCTCCTGTCATACTGGGATCTCAGAGTAAATGGATTGTTCCGTCTCCCCTGTCTGCTGAAGCTGATTAGAGGGATTTAGGTTTAAAACCAGTTGATGACCGCAGGATGTAGCCCTGACTTTCTGTTTTATCTCCTCTGACTTTCTATTCCTCTTTGTTCTTATCAAGTCCTTTCTCTTGTCTCATTCTCTACCTCCTCTTTGACTTGCTCGCTTTTATACACACACAGACACAGACACACACACAGACACACACATAACCAACCATCGTTCTTTTGATTGACAGTTGTGGTGTCCTGTGACCTCTCTTAAAATGTTCTAATATTAGTGGTTGCGGTTGCGGTGTCGACCAGTTGACGACTGTTGTAAAGTTGTCAATGTGATGGGGTCGGTGCCCTGATATGCGATAGCCACATCGTAATAGTCAGCTGGCATCATGTGGGTGTCAACATGATGCACCAGAGCATTGACTAAAACACACACACAAACACACAGACACCGACACATCAATACACACATTGAAGTTACTTATTCCAATTCATATGCATGCAACATTATGTAAATATCAACATATGCATGCAGATGTTTGTCCATGCACATAAACCCATGCAAATACAGACTTGAAAAAAGGCAAACACACACACACACACACACACACACACACACACACACACACATACACACACACACAGACACACAAAAACAAACACTTAAAGTAAAGAATGACAAAAGGTACACCAAGGGACAGATTAGCCAGGGATCATTTTAACGGCTGCACCAATGTATGACTTGAGAGGTCAGGGTCAAACCAATCCAAGATTGCAAAGAAAATGTCTACACGCCCACCAATGCAACATGTCCTCCTCACTTTCCTCTGACAATACTGCTCTTATCCTCCGTCAGTCTTCTCTGTGTTCTTTTCTCTCTGGCTCTCTTTCAATCGAAAGCTCCTGAGAGACACAATTTGAAGCATTGTGAAATCCTTGAGAAACATCTAAATCTCTTTAGACTGTGATAGAAAGCCTTTAAAAGCTGATGGAAAGCTATTGGATTCAGCAGGGAGGGTTCAGCAGTTCAACAGGAAAGGTTTTATGGACACAGATGGTGAATTCAGAGAACTTGCAACAAGTGCAGCCCTATGTTCACTTTCAAAGAAAAGTTTGCTTCAATTTATTCCGTTTTTTTCATATTTACATGTTGATATTTGAATCCTTTAGTTTAGAGTATATTTAACAACTGTGAAAAAGCTATACAAAGCATTCCAATCGGGGATGTTACAGTGTTTAGGGGTCCCCTCTCAATACATTTCACAGTAGGTAACGCACTACTAATACATATTTCCCGTCAATCTCAAGAAGTCACACTCGATACTGCGCTTCCTTGGGTTCTCAGCAGTACAGCTGCCAAATGTTAAGTCAATCCAATGAAGCGTTGTTGAGGAAGGACAGAGACATCTTTTTTATATGGTTAGAAGAATTACATATCTGGTCCGAGGACATCTAAACCAGTCAAGATAAGTTAATCAGCCATTAAAAGTTTTGTTCAAATATCAAAAAAAAAGAAGCAGTGTGAAACTTGGATCTGAGCCACACTCATCTATATGTTTCCCTATGAATGCTATAAGGTTCATTAGGATATAGAGACAGCAGAGTGAAGCAGCAATCTGACAGCAAAAATACATTTTTTAATCTTGAAACCGAAGAGTATAGGATTGACCCCACAGGCCAGGCAAAGCCAGTAGACGCCACATAGCAGGTGGGTGTATGTATTTATGTGTGTGTATCATGACTGTGTGTGAATAGTTGTGTGTGTGCCTGTCTGCGTCTGTCTCTATGTGTGATTGATCACCCCAGCTGCAGTGAAATAAACACATCAGTGTGTGTGGTGACAGGCACTATCCCTACCCCACAAACACCCACACAAAAACACACACACACACACACACACACACACACACACACACACACACACACACACACACACACACACACACACACACACACACATAATTCTAGTATAATATGTTGCCTTCTTTGGATTCACTTTCAATGTCACTTGTTTGTGAATGACTTGTGTTGGCCAGTATGACATAATATCAGATACATGCATCTGTGTGTGTGTGTGTGTGTGTGTGTGTGTGTGTGTGTGTGTGTGTGTGTGCCTGAGTGACTCTTGATGAAAATCACAGCAGACTTTTCTGTCAGAAGGCATCAGTGGTGCGGTGTGGCCAAAACGCTAAGGGCTACCTCACTCTCATACCCGTACAGTATACTGTACACACACAGTACATTTAATTCCCTGAAGTCTCCGTTGTTAATGTGTCATATGATGACACTAGTAACAGAGTATGACTGGAGGTTATAACATCAGTGGTGGTAATGTGCTTTAAATGGACAGTGTATGTGACAGTGTGAAATAAACTGTCTAAAACATAAGACATGTTCTATTCCTGTACACAGAGAAGCAGATCTATCAAATTCATCGCTTTTTGATTTTATAGTAGCTCAATGTCTCACCACAAAATTATTACATACTACTTGACAAACTACAGTATTTGCAAGTTCTGAATACATTATAAACATGTATTTCCCCAGAACATGCCAAATATTGAGACTTTTTTTTAATTGAGATTAATTGGTGAAACCAGGAAATAACCACGAATGGAATGTCTTTGTTTTGGACTTAAGGACATCCCACGGGACAGCAAGGTCTATCGATATAAATTGTTTTATCACATAAAGCATTGGATAGTCACTCACACGCACAACATTTTGTGACCACCACATCATAACAATGACAGTTATTCCATCCTTGCCCTGCTCTTGAGAAACATGATAAATATGTCCGTTTGGTGAGTGTGTCTGTGTGTGTGTTTCTGTGCACAAAAAACAATTTATGTAATGCTGCTTCCCCAATAGATCCTTACCTTAATCCTCTTTGAGCCAGCATAGTAAGCCCCATGGCTCATCTCCCATCACATTTTACCTTGATCCTCAACCTCTGTCAGAAATCATCACCGTAATCCACAGATTAGTCAGCAATCTCTTCTTTATTCTGACTGTCTAGGTGAATTATTGAAACGGTGTTAAGATTATTAAAATGCTGTTGTGATGGTCTATCCCCGCAGAGTAATTTACAAATGGTGCAGATGAAAAGGAGAGACTTAAGTGTGGTTTCAGTGATACATG